GGAATAAAGGAATCAGTCTATCATTATTTCTAACGGGGAGACCAGAGGATCAGCAGTGAAATAAATTGCTAAAATAATTTGAACAGAGATGATCATCTATTGAACATGTCTACAGTGATAGGCTACATCTGTTCAGTCATGAGTAGTGATGTACCGAACGGTTCGCTGGCGAACGGTTCCCGGCGAACATAGCATGTTCGCGTTCGCCACGGCGGGCGAACATACGCGCGGTTCGACCCGCCCCCTATTCGTCATCATTGAGTAAACTTTGACCCTGTACCTCACAGTCAGCAGACACATTCCAGCCAATTAGCAGCACAGCCTCCCTAGCAGACCCTCCCACCTACTGGACAGCATCCATTTTAGATTCATTCTCAAGCTGCATGCTTAGTAAGAGGAGGGAAAGTGTAGCTGCTGTTCATAAGATAGGGAAAAGCATAGCTAGGTTAGGGATAAGGGTATGCTTTTTTTGGATTTTTTTTTTCTATGTAATGTAAATGCACTTAGTTGTCTGCCACTGCTGCCAGCTTCTGTGTCAAGCTCACAGTGCATACTGTGCCCATTTCCCCAGTCAGTGCCACCAATTACATCTGGTGTCACAATAGCTTGGATTTAAAAACAAAAAACACTTTTTTCACTGTTATAGATTGAATAGCAGTCAGTGTCCTTAAGCAGGTGTGTTAAGCTAACAGTGGATCTCACATTCCAGTGCTGCCACCAATTAGATCTGGTGACACAAAGCTTGGATTTAAAAAAACACTTTTTTCACTGTTATAGATTGAATAGCAGTCAGTGTCCTTAAAGCGGGTGTGTTACGCTAACAGTGGATACGCTGACCAGTGCCACTAATTAGATCTGGTGTCACAATAGCTTGGATTTAAAAAAACAATAAGCTTTTTTCACTGTTATAGATTGAATAGCAGTCAGTGTCCTTAAAGCGGGTGTGTTACGCTAACAGTGGATACAGTGACCATTGCCACCACTTAGATCTGGTGACACAAAGCTTGTATTTAAAAAAAACAAAACACTTTTTTCACTGTTATAGATTGAATAGCAGTCAGTGTCCTAAAAGCGGGTGTGTTACGCTAACAGTGAATCAGAGTGACCATTGCCACCACTTAGATCTGGTGTCTGACCAAGCTTTGGATTTAAAAAACTATTTTTCACTGTTATAGATTGAATAGCAGTCCAGTGTCCTTAAGCGGGTGTGTTGCATGCTTTGAGTGGATCACGGTGACCAGTGCCACCAATTGAATCTGGTGACACAATGCTTGGATTTAAAAAACTAAAACTCTTTTTTCACTGTTATAGATTGAATAGCAGTCAGTGTCCTTAAAGCGGGTGTGTTACGCTAACAGTGGATACGGTGACCAGTGCCACCAATTGATCTGGTGACACAAAGCTTGGATTTAAAAAAACAAAACACTTTTTTCACTGTTATAGATTGAATAGCAGTCAGTGTCCTTAAAGCGGGTGTGTTACGCTAACAGTGGATACGCTGACAAGTGCCACTAATAGATCCTGTGTCACAATAGTTTGGATTTAAAAAAAATAATAATCTTTTTTCACTGTTATAGATTGAATAGCAGTCAGTGTCCTTAAAGCGGGTGTGTTACGCTAACAGTGGATACGCTGACAAGTGCCACTAATTAGATCTGGTGTCACAATAGTTTGGATTTAAAAAAAAAAAAATTTTTTTTCACATTTATAGATTGA